GTATGTAATGACTCAGAGGTGTGTACTCATCACTGTGGTTTCCCCCTTTTCATAAACCCACCTCTCTGTAACCAGGTTGCTGCAGCAGGAATTTACTGCAGTGAATGACCGTAAACATCATGCTAATGGTAGCACTGCCTGCAAATGGTCACTTGAGAGTGCAGGGTGAGCAGTTTGAGGCCAGAGACAATATTTTCTACTCTCTGCACACCACAGGGCACACACTATAATCTGATATAGGATAAAGGTGCTTTAATAATTATTATTAAAAGCAAACAATCCACAGATCAAGAGCTCGTTTCCAACATGCTTTCTAATCTCTGTTCCCTCTCAGATGCATGGTTATTGCCCACCTGGAAGGGTCCCAAAGCCATAGCCAGAAATCTGCCACCACCACCCCTTCTGCTGTTCCTGCCATCATATTTAATTGTGTTTGCTCAAGTTGGAGCCAAACTCATATGCAGTATATTTAGATGGTTAAAATAGCCCAGTGCTCCACTGTATTCAGAGATTATTTTCAATTCCACAATTCTTGGAAATTAGTCTGGAATAAATAAGGTAAAGAGAAAAGGAGCAGCATAAATTTGTTCCAGTGACAAAGAAAACAATATCAAAATGGCAATCTGGAGATCCGCCACAAATGAAGGAGTAGAGTGCTCCTTTTGGTTCACTCTCCTGAAAATGTAATTACCATCTGATTCGCTACTCTGGATTTATTTTAAAGTGGGTGAGAATGAAATCAAGAAATAAATAGTAAGATACAGTGAAAAGTGCTTTTATTATTCCAAAAGATCAATGTACAATTACTATACTTATTCTCATAGAGTGTTATAGGTAAGAGTGTACAATTGATGCATAGGTTGATTTTCTGGACCTCTATGGACTTTTTATTTTCTATAATGGCAAACTTCTAAAGTTGAAATACATATATTATTAAGATATATTCAATATTTCTTTTCTGAGATCTGAGCTACTATCCTTCTTCAAACACTTCCAAAAGCACTCATAACTAACTCACAAAGGTTTGGTTGGATATTTTTGAAAGGCAACTCTTCTACCTTTTTATTATCTTCCATATTTGGTATCATTTAACAAATGCAAATCCTGTCACCCAAATGTCAAAAGACTTGCACATCAGGGGTGAAACGCAGACTTCACTGTTGGCAAGGCTATGGTTTGAGTGGATCAAATGGATCAATGGATTAAAAATAAAAAGCAGCTTTCTGTTCTAATGTGAAACTAAAATTTCACATCATTATCATAACCATCATCACAGACATCATCGTATGTATAAAGAATTTGTCTTGATTTTCATGCAAATTTTGAAAATGTAGAGAATAAATATGCTTTTAGGTTATGTTTTACTTGTGATTTTCCAGAGTACTCCTCCTGTACCTAGAGGGCTAGGAATCAAACATCACATCTAAAGAATACCTACTATATCTATGCTCATCTTTCCAGGTCAACTTTCTCTTTAAATTCTCAGTCTCATTTTTTCATTAACTAATTCAATAAATATTACTTAGAACCTACAATGTGCATGATGCTTTTGTAGGCATCAAAGACGTGGAATAGGAGGCAAGGTACTAATCACATGGAGTTTATCTTCTACCATAGGAAGCAAGATTAAAACAATAAACAGAAATTAAGATTTTAGATAGTGATGTCTCAGTTGAGAAATTGCATACATCAGCAGAATGCTAGAGTGACTGGAAAGCCATGTTAGATGGTGAAAAGGAAAGACCACTTTCAGGAGGTGATATTTATCCTATATGGACAATATGGTATAGGCATTGTGACAAGCTAATTCGAGTACCAAGACACTGACGTGGGAAGGGAGGCCTAGAGAATCTAAAGAACGTGAAGAACGCAACTTACTTCAGCATCGTGAATGGGAGGGAGGTGTTTTAGGATGAGGCCAGTAGCAAGCAGAGGCCATATCCCTGCCAAGGACTCAGGCAACCACTATAAGAAGTGTTGAGCCTTTGAAGTCAGCAGCTAATCAGCCTGTGCAGTAGAGGCCAGTCCTGCCTGAGATGTAGATGTGGCTGGTACCACAGAGTCCTCTTCCATGTTTCTGAACCGTCTCTGCACTATTCACCTCTGAGGTCTTTATCTCCAGAGTGGCTTCCTTGACTGTTTGAACTCCTCCTTGCTGATTTTCTCATAATCTTCAGGGGTACTGAGGCTGCTGCCTGCTCTCTGACTCAGTACTTGGCCTGAGTCTCACTATGGGTTGAGGCCTAGAGTCTCCACAAACTTTACAGTTTGAGAGCTGGATCTTCCAGCAAATCCTTCATGGACTTTACAAATTCCATATCCAACCAGAACTAATGCTACTATGATTATTACTACTTTTCTGAGTACATATTATGTTTTCAACTTTAAAAAATACTTCCAAATACTTTTATGTTATTGATTGTGTCACTAATGTCTATAAAGTAGCTGTGTGATTATCATTGTTTCATTTAAAAATAAGAAATTCTAAAGTCAAAGGTAAACTCATGAGAACAGAGAAATTTGGCTTGCCTATATTATTTTCAGGATGAAGAAAGTCTGGTTCACTCCAGGCATTCTGTGATTAAGCCCACAGATGTCTGGTTCTGTACAGAAGCTGAAGATCAGACACAAAGGAAGTGAAGAGGTGACCAGAAAGGATCTCTTCTCCTGAACTTTTTCATATTTATGTATTTGAGTTTACTTTTCTTTGTAACATTATACCACCACAGCATTCATGGCCACACTCACAAATCTAGGTGATAATATAGGGCATCTTTGTACAAATACATTTCCAAGAAATAGCGCTAAAAGAGAACAAGTGATTTGGTCAACTGATGAGCTTGGGAGGGAGAACCACATGCAGTCCGCTGAGCAGCCCCCGTCTTTCCTTCAGCTTCACCTAACCACAAAGACCAGGGTTGGAGGTAAGAAGTATCCCTTTGTGGATATGAACCTCTCATTCTCAGACCTCAGTGTTCTATAGTCTCACTTTCAAATATGCATCTTTCAGATAACCATGTGTTCAAAAAATTCAATGAACTATTTTTTAGAAGTCTTATGTTTTCAGATAAGTCCAAACAAGTGACTATCTTAGAGTGGAAAAAAATACAGAGCATTTTCTTACAGGTTCACTAATCAAAACTCATATTAACATTCTTAAAATAAATGGGAAAGTGATAGAGAGATTAAAAACTCTCAGGTGTCTTTCATCTGCTCAAGTAGCTCAACTAGGTTCATTGTAGCTAGGGGTGTGTGTTAGTTTGCAATAGAATGCTTTGCATGCCATTCTTTAAAACTCTAAGGTTGTTATGAAGATGAGACTCAAGCTGTTTGTATTAAAAATTCATGACCCCTTTCCAAGAGAACTGTTTTGACCTGTTATTTCTGGCTAAATTTGCAGAAGTTCTTTTTCTACCACTCACACATACCTCAGGAAATAAGACTTTAATAGCTGGAGACCTAATTGAAGCATACCTGAAGCCATTAAACAAGAATAACATAATGCAAAGCTGGTTAAAGCACAGGTTCCCTTAGAAGTGAACTTTATACCACAGAAATGCAGTAAGTTCTGAAGGACATGTTGTCCCCTGAGTACCATTTGGTAGATTAGAAAGAACAAGTCCCAGAAGAGAATACAATACACTACATAAACCTAAAACTTTCCAAGTAGCAGTGAAAACTACTTCTTATTATGAACTCGTTTCTAGACCGCACAACATTGTATACACATCAGAGGATCTGGCCTCTCCATCAAACCCACCTCTGAACTCCATGAACACCTTTGGCACAGGACAGGTGCACCTTAGAGGTATACTGTGCACAGAAGGGATACTTACCAGGGCACTGCTACCAAGTGGTGCGTTCGCTAGGCGTAAGCTGCTCTCCTTAATGAGGAAGCTTCTAGATTGTTCCACTTTGTCCATGATGAGTAAATGAGCTTAAGTCAGTGTTGATATACTAGGAATACGATTTTGGCTGCTTGTTTAAGCAACACTTTATTGGTGATAAAGCCACTCTTTTTTTTGCCCTCCATCTAGGAAATACCGAATTTTTTCTCTCATTTGTTATTTTCTTATACACACCCATATTTCTCAACGGTAATCTGACAATTCAACTATGATGTGAGTATTTCCTTTCAGGAAAAAAATGACATTCTGTTTTTGCAAAAAATCAGAAAATATACCATAGAGATCATATAGAAATAATTCCAATACTTTGTTATCAACAAATGGATGATCCATGACAATAAAAGGAATCACATATATCTGTACACCCACATATATTTGAAAATGTAACATTTGCTAAATTCACTTTTGAAAATTTGTTCCTTAGAGTGTTCACTGAAAACCAAATGTTACATTAAATACATGTTAATTGATCCAAAATAGAAGAAAAGAAGTGTACTTTGGTGCAAGATAATTCCCAAGCTATAATCCCATTATTATCTTGCTATATTTTGTGTGTGTGTGTGTGTGTGTGTGTGTGCGTGCATGTGCGCGCGCACGTGTGTGTGTATGTAAAGTAGTATGCAAGTGACAGTACAGCAATATAGTGCCAGGATAACTGGCTGGAAAGTAAAAAAGTCAATCATAACAGTTTTACTTATGTTTCCCCTGACTAGATGAGTTGATTTGGTTTGGCACTTTGTGTGCATTCATTAAATTGTTGTAAACAAAGGTATACTATGATGATATTCAAGTCAATCTCCTGTGGCATGTACAACAGTGAACTATTAAACACATAAAAAATTAAAAATTGAGATTAAGAGCAACTAATTTTATTTTGAGCCAAAGTTTGCAAATGTTCACTGTGGAAAAAAGAATTTAGGAAATCTACTCCTATTTTTAGCCATTTAAAAAAATGTGAGAGTGAAGAGAAGGAAAATAAAATATTGCTCTGCTGATAAAATACATTTTATCTTTTTCCAAAAATCACATACACACACAAAAGCATGCACACACACACACACACACACTAGAGCACAAAGATCCTCAGTCTTATCACCTGTTTTTGAGCAGTACGTTGAAGGTCATCTTATCCAGCCCCAGATAGTTTGGCAGCAACTTTGACCAATTCCAGTTCCATTTCACAATGGCTGACTGTTGATAAATGAGAAGACACTATTGTTAGTTATTAATCAGAGTTAATATGATTGGTAAATTAAAGCTCCAGCTGTGATAGACTAACTAAGGAGGGGGGGGGTCCTGAACAAGGACTTAGACAGATAACATCAATCATGTCCACAGAAGAAGGTTTTTATTCCAATAAGACAGCAATTAATTTATAAATCCATTTGGGGATGTAGTCATTACTTATAAAAATATAAATCAATTCCTTGAATCGTTATTCTCCCAAGTATTAATGGCATTTTCCTAACAAGTTTCTCTGAGAGGGTGACTCTTCAAAAAACAAATCACAATAATTGGTGACTTATTCACGTAACAACGTTTAGGGTTTTTTATTTTAAAGAGAATAATTAAAAAATAAAAATGATACAGAATTTCAAGACAATATGATAGGAAATTAACAATGGTTATTATATTGTATATTGTAATCTTCAAAGTGGTTGCCCAGATTATCAGCTATAGTGATATAAGATTGGTCAAACAATATAAATAGTAACTGTTCCTTTCAATGAACTAATAGAAATTAGTAGTATAATTATCTTAGCTATCATACAGATAGACAGATAGAATGATAGATTACTTTCTTCTTTTCTTCTTTCCTCTATCCCAATTATTTTTTTCTTTTTGAATAGTTTCTTTCCCCTTCACAACGTCTACTGTATCTTTTGGATCTTATTTATTCTTTCAGTTTCTTATACTAGGGAAATAATGTGATACTTTATAAACACCCTAAAGTTTGATGGAAAAAACAAACTTGGAAACCTTAAGACTCAACTTGTAAGACACAGCTTAATTAGTGTGATGATCTTAATGTTAACTTTTTTGCTTAAAAAATGTTTTAGTATGAGATTATTAGGACCTACAAGTATAAACAACCTGATTCTTTTTTCTCATTAATCGATAAGTTCATGACAGAGTCAGGAGAAGAATTACTGTGAAAAAAAATCTCATAATTTAGACCTCAATAAAACGTGTCATTTATTTAAATAAGAGAAAATTTAACATTTATAATAATTATTTGTGATTTAGAACAACCTAATATACAACTCAGGAAAGCAGCCAATAAACCTTAAACAAGGTTCGGTTTTTAAAAATAGTATTTTTGTACCTTAAAATTAAATAGTTTGTATAATAAGGGTCCAGGCTGATGTTTAAAATCCAACAAGAGCTTCCTGCTGTCACCTGCTGATTAATTGAGCTCTACCATCCTGTCATAGAGCAGGAGAATTCTGCCCTGCGTTGTCAGTATTGAAGGTTTTATTCTACTACAGTATTGATGAATGCAGGCGAGAGCTGTAACAGGCATGGTAAAAATATTATCGGCATGCCAAATTAGGCCATTGTTTTAATTCTTATTTTCATCAGAGCTCGAGGTCAAGTAATTCTTTTCTTCTGCCCTGCTAATTCAAATTGTCTGTCAAGAAGTTTCTGGGAACAGCCACCCAAAGAATGAACAAAGCAAAATCAAGTATAGATTTAAAATGCTTTGGTAGAAAGATGGTCTTTTTAATGTAATTACTCTACTACGTGGCTCAAACAGTGGTATAATTTGACATTTTTAAATGCACAGGATTTATCATATTGCCTTTATTTCAAATGCCCTGGCTTTAAGGTCGCTAGTGTGCTCATTGTAAATTTGGGACTGTGTCTGGGGTTGTAAATAACAAATTTATCTCGTGTCACTTAAAATGAAAGCTCACAATATATTTATAATTCACTTTAAGCTACCTTCTAATTTATCTGTTGCATCCATAAAGATTGCAAAATATTTTATTTAATGTGTTGAGAAATAAGGGGTGATAACAGAAGGAAAGAATCTTACAAAATTTTTCATTCTTTGGGTCTCTTGTAGACCCTGCCTCTGCTCATAGCAAACTAAACTGATCAAAGTTAGGTTGCATTGGTCAAATGTACAGATCAGTTTGACAAATAGAAAGAAGGTAAAATAACTTTTAGAAGCCTATTCATATAGACCATTTCATTAAACACAAGGATTTTTCTTTCCTGGGTCCCCCCACCAATATTATGAGCAAATATCAAAACTACAAAGGAATATTTTTCTTACTAGTGTTGAAAATCCACACATTAAAGTTAAATTTACCATTTCATTTCCACATACCTGATCTAGCATGTTTTCTCTAAAGCCCTCATACACATGGAAAGGGTTAAAGGCAGAAGGCTGATCTTCCACACTCCTTGAGGTCATCTTTAGAGGTCGGGTGGGTGATGGCTTTTCCTCCGAATCATTCATAGAAAACAGCTGTTGTCTTAAATATTCCTGAAAGGAAAAAAAGTAGAAGTCATGATGGGGCAAAGCACACATTGTCCTTAAAAGGAAATTGATCAAAATTGAAAAAGGATCCCTTTAGCACATTTGTACTGTTTGCCTTGGGAAGAATGCATTTTCAGAAGACACATAGCAGAGAACCAATCACCACTGTAATAAACTCATCAAAAATAGGTTTATTTAACATGTACAATGGATATAAAGACCGTTTGACACACTTCCCTGTTATGAATGAATGCTTGATATGTCAGAGTCTGGTTCACAAGCATTGTTTTATCACTGGCTCATGTGATACCATGTCTGTCACCAAAACTTAACTCAGGTACATGGTTGTGCACATTACAAGGGTCCTCATCCATTTATGAAGTGCAGCTTCTTCTACTTCCGGATAAGCAGACCACTAAGTATTCTCATATTTTATTGCAAGTAGTCTCATTCTAGACAAAATTATTTACAATACAAGCTCCTAAACTGTATTTCTACACTGTAAACTGAAAGATATCAAGGTTTGGTAGAAGCTCAAACTATGCTGTAACCACCCCCCAAAGTCAGTGCAGTCCCTGGGGATAAGAGGACAATCTATTGCATTGCAACTCATTTCCAGCCCATAAATAAACAGGGTCAATTTGTTTTTTAAATCTTTTTGAGACATGGTCTCATTATGCAGTTCAGGCTGGTCTCTGAGCTCACTTTGTAGCCCAGGCTGATCTTGAATTTGCAATGATCCTCCAACCTCAGCCTCCAGAGTGCTATGACTATAGGCATGTGTCACCATGGCCAGGCCAAAATTTTAAAGAACTCTTTTTGGAAGACAATATATTACAATGACTCTACCATCAACTGACAAATGCCCACTATTCATAAATAAGCCATTTAATAGGTAAAAATAGATGTTCTTCTACTTTTTAGTTGGTCACCATATAATTTTCTTTCCTTTAAAACTAGGATTTGGACAAAGTTCAGAATGTCAGAGCAGAATAGGACTTCAGAGATCATTTCGTGTGACTCGAAGTCTGGTCACAGATCCCAGAATCAGCCTTACCCTTAATATACAAAGTAACCACTACTGACTTTAAATTCTATAGCGTTTGGGAGAGGGACACACAGAAACTCTTACTAATATAATTAGATGATAAAGCCATCAGAAAAATAATTTCATTTGTAGATTTAGATTATTGAATTAAAATATTTTTCCATTATGATTTATAAAGCAAAATTTAAAAAAATAAAATACTATCTTCACTGAAAAAAATACATCTTTGTTCTGGCCAATAATTTTCTAAACTCATTTCCTTTTACATAAATATATTTTAATTTTTATTGTTTCCACAATTTAAAAAGTGTCCTATTGCAAACTATCAACAGAATGGTATTTTTCCTTTGTTAATCTCTCTGCTATGGAATGAGTCATTAGTGCTTCTTAAAAAAACAAGATTCTTCTGTGTGACATTGTTTTCCTCAGCTACAAAAAGTGCTGCTTCCTCAGAATATTTCCATCCTGTCTTGAATGCCTTCTCTACCTACACATATCGAAGCACAATATATTTCCCCATCAGGATTCCTGTCTTCCCTTCTGTGAATTGTTCCACCAGATTCGGGCGCTCACTAATGCCCACCAAGCCTCTCAGCAGGGCCTCTCTCATCTGTGCTCCTAGCCAGCACCTCACTTGTAATTGTCCTTTTTTTTTTAGACTTTTTTATTCATCTCAAAGATAAACTGTTAAACCATTTTTTCCTTATAATTTCTGTCTCCATCAGCGACACATCCATTCCTCCTCACCTAGGCCATTAATACTTCTAAGTCTATTATATCTTTGACTAGTATTTAGCAGCACATGTAAAGGTGGGGTGCTACTCATACGATGAGCAAGTACCACAGTCCACTGCACCTGTTGCAGCATACCAACGCCTCCAGGATAAAAGCAGCCGAAAGTATGACACTGGTCATGTCGTCAACCTTGCATTGTTAGTTTATCCCCCGTGTTTCTAACAGTCATCAGGCAAAAGTCTGCTGCTCACTTTGCTTTGTGTCATCTAACATTGTCCTGACCTTGCTGTGCATGCTTCAACCAGCAGAATAAACATGTAGATACTTAGCTCAATACCTAACTGACAGACACAAATTTAATAGTAAATATATTCTGGTGTGACAGAAGAAAACTCGTAACTGAGTATAACTGATCAAACTTTGGTGGCAGTGCAGTGAAGATGCCACAGCACTGTGGTTCACAGCCACTGCCACAGAGCTACATGAGTTCTAGGGGGAAAGAACGCAGAGGAGGACTGATGGCCAACAAAGACGCAACTTAACCTTCGATGATTTTGTTTATTGATGAAGCTGGGCTTTTCTCTCGGTTTGTCAGTCCACAAAAGCCATTCACAACCTCAGAAGTGATGCGACATCACTTTATGCAGGCCCTGTGGTTAACCGTACTGCAACTTCTCTTTCTCAATAGTCACCATAGCAACTCCGGCCCATCCAGGTGGCTACGTGGACATACTGTGAAGGAACATGACTCACAAGGGAGGTGCTACACCTGGCCACGGCCAAGACTTTCTTGGTTCCCCAAACAGAAATCTCATGTAAGCTGTGAGGGATCTTTAACAAGAGTGCTCAGGCCAAGTCCCTCTGCAGCAAGTACACATTGAGCCCTGTGCGGTAGAGACAGCGAAATTCCTCACATCAGCTTATCGCTGAATACAGCATGAAGTCACCTATTTACTGACTGTTGAGTAACTCCATGAAATCCGGCAATCGAGATTTACTTGAAATAACTCTCAGACCAGTAACGACAGATAAAACATGCATGTAACTGAGTTGTAAAATGCTATCACATACTTCACTTCACTCTTTGGAAACGTACGGCATTCTTAAACCCTGCATCATTGACCAAAAACTATATCCATATTATACAATTTTTACTATTCCAAAAATATATTTATGTGTTTGCAAACATAAACAGAATTATCGATGAAATATTCTAATTAACACCTATGATCAAAATGAAAATCTGATGAAATTAACAAATATAAATTAGTTGGAATAAATAACTGAGATAATCTGCTTATTTACATTTTTTGCTAGAACGGCCCAAGCCATTTAGGGTCAGGGGCTAAATAGAGCAGAGCGATGGACAGGCATAACAGCAGTTTTCACCAGTGTCTGTGCATTAATGAATTTCCCCTGCTTAATCTGGCTGATCTCCAATGTGGTTCGATATTCTTGTGAAGATTTTCATTACAAGGAATCTCCAACTTCACCAACATAAGAATAATGTCTTCAGGCAAATTGCTCTGTCTCTTTGGAAAATACTTCATTTCCACAATAGCAGATTTTAACATCAGCTTAATGGTCACAAACACACAATTCCCAAACTACACCTTATTCTCTACAATTCAGAACTGAACTGAATTTATGAGCCGTGTTATTGTTTAAATCATACAAATAAAACCTACATTGTTTCAGTGAAGCTTTCTCAGTACAAATGCAGAACAGCCGGGGCTGAATAGATTCTATTAATAATGCGATATTGAGTTAGGTATTGACTTTTAAGAAGTATTATCACCTCCCTGACTAACCCTTAGTTGCCAGCAGACGCTGCCTCAGGCCAGTACACACCTAATTGCTCGGTAAAAAGACTGTTTCCCTACCTCATTGAGCTGCATGATGTGATAAATTTGCCTCAGGTACTCGCTGCCACCTGGTTTGTGGCAGAGATCCAGGACCATCGTGTTGATTTTCTGCTCAGTCAGTTCAAGAGCAGTATCTCCTTCTTCTAAGACTGTGCTTTTCTCCATTGCCATAAATGCCCTAAGTACAAAGAAAGCACATACGTATTAGTGGTGAAGAACTGTAAAACCCTCAGAGAGCCTGAGCGCGCAGATTCGATGTACGTCTCCTATTCAAGCACCCATACTGACTTCACTCAGCTAGGTAAGCTGTCCCCAGCTCCTCTTGCTCCTAGAAACAGCAGCACGTTAGAATTAAGCACCTGAAAGCATTTTAAAAAATGGACTCATTTCTTTTAAAACATTTCTTTATTGCATTTATACTCCTATCTATAAAACATTTTCCCCATTACTGCCATTGTTGAAATTGCTATAATCATGGGGTTAAAAACAAAACATTTCTTTTTAAGAACATGTGAAAAATAATTTGTAATTTCTCTTTGAGGATAAAAAGTATCTGGTGCCAGAAATAGCTTTGGTACTCTGCCTTTTGTAGATTCCTCTTTACACCTGTCTTAGAGCACATTAAAGACTAATTAAAGCGTCAAAAGGGGGAACCTATGATGCTAAACACAGCCTGTACACCTTGTGGCAGGGTGCTAACTACTAGATATTTTAAATTGGCCTTTGACACTTGTTGCCTTTAAAAAAAATACATCCCTTCTACTCTTCTGTAATAGATACTTAGCAAAAGTCACTACCCCAGTCATTCTTGGAGTAAAAGAGCTTACCATCACCACCTCATGACTCCTGAAGATATAGTCCTGAAATATTTATTTTCAACTAATCATATGCCTATGCTAGGTTTTAAACATTTTTGCATGCTAATCATGGGTGAAATAAAAACTTTTAAATATCTCAGACTATACCATTATAAAAAAAAATTATCATTGTCATGGATACATATACACTCCGCACTAATTTTCTGGTCATGCTTGCTATTGGATCACGTTAGGCTTTACAATCAAGTATTCTTAGGAAAACGCATGCTTTCCCACTGTTTCCCAGATGACATGAAATTTACCGTGGTGTAATCAGCTGTATACTGCACTTCATTACTGAGATTTTGCCATGATTATAAAATTAGTTCTGCTAAGAGTCAGTGCCACTGACCTGAAGACTGAACCAAATGATACCCAGCTGCTGGACATTAACTCGGGTATTGCTTCCACATGTAGCTTCAAAACATCTTTCTCAAAAGTTAAGGTCATATACACCCTGCTAAACCTAATAATGATAAAGTAAATCTTACTTTTAGATATATTCACTAGCTTGACTAAATGTTTTTATAAAAACAATCTTGTTATAAGAACAAGTTTGCATGGATCTTTCTCAGGCTGTGTACAGGTTGCAAGAAAAATTGCTTGTCAGGCTTTGTAGAGGCTGACATTGAAAAAGTTGAGGCTCTCTGACAAAGGAGGATGTCGGTGTCAGCTCCTGAATTGTATCCTTTCCTGTCCATCACTGTGCAGGTGAAGCAAATGATTGGATTCAGTCAATGCCATGATTAATGAGTTCCTCTCTGGATTTGGGAGTGCCTATCAATCATGTCATTAGGGAGAATGTGCCCTGAAAGAGGCAGACCTTAGCCAAGGAATAACTGCATTAATCTTAATCTGTATATGCACCCAGCCAGCCACATCAGGGTCACCATGATGAAAAACAATAATCTTCAACTCGACAAATTACTTTGCAAAGACAGACATTTCTTTACTTTTTGGACTGCATGTTCTCCAGAATCTAAGTCCACTGTTTACAGCTTGTGAGTTACTCCAAAGTGAAGGTTATTTTAATGAATAGTAATGCTTTCAGGGCAGGATGGGGGACAGGCAATGCTTACAGCTACCACCTTTTCAACTGACTGCCGTTACTTTCACCATTTCCATAAAATCAAACAAATATGTATGCAAGGGGAAAAAATTAAGCTGAAGGATATCTTGCAATTCTGAAATAATCTTGAGAAATTAGGATGTGACTTACCTTAACAGAAAAACTATATTGGTATGTGTGCTGCCATGTATTATTTTTTTAAAAATCTATGGTAAAGCCTAAGTAACTGTCTACCTAATACAGACATAATTTGAAATACATTCTGCTTACATTGTAGAATTATGAATTAATGATCAATTCATGAGAACGTTTAGATGAAGAATTTCACATGTGTATCTTATAATGATTTGAAAACAAAGTTAAGAAGAAAAATTCCCATAGTGTCCAAAGTCTGTAAGAGACCTCTATCAAGGTGAGACTGAATTTAACTTTTTCAAATTCATGTACTAAACAACTTTAAGCCTGTATTTTTGTATTGTGTTGTCATTTGAAAAACTGAGAAAGACATAATATTATGCTAAGTAATCATTCAGAATCTTTGAAGACTGTGATTGGTTTTTTAAATTAGCAATTCTTTGGTTTTGGTATATGCTGTCCTAGTGAGCTAAGTTAAACTTTGACTCGGAGTAAATCACCTAACATTTAGCTAGACAATTTCATATTGTAGGAAATACTAGATTTGCTGCTGTTTATAAAACTTACGATCAGCTTCTAAAGAAAGAAATTTAACTTAGGGATTTCTGCATGGGGTCTGAGTTATATTACTCAGATGCTGCTTTAAATATTTCTTATGTGACAGACGACTGTTAACTCTAGAGTATATAAATTATCCTAAAATAAAGTAATTTAACTTTGTAACTGTAATGAAATCTCCTATTTTTAAAGTTTCTTTTATAACCACTGCTATGTAATGACATCCAGCCTTGATCTTTTAGTCATTAGATTAAAGCCTGTAAATTGGCATTGAATGCAAATATAAAGATTAAGGTCACTGTCAATGTTACTAAGCATTTGCCTGATTGCTGTTCTTGAAGTTAGTATTACAAGAGCAAGAAAATTATGATTACCTATTTTTCACCATACAGATTAATATGTGACCTTATAGATTAACAGAGACAAGAATAGAACTGTTAATACTAAGCAGTGAGTGCAATGTCCCTAGTTGAGTTCACAAATAATAAGTGCATATTGGTCTCGAAGAACTGATGCTAAGAACTTTGTGAACATTACAGAACTTTTCTATATGATTCCATCAGCTCGATATCAGTATTGAAGCTGAGGCTTTATGACATCGAATAACTTGCACAAGATGGTGATGCATTTACCAAAACTTGCATTTGCCCCTCTGAGGCGAAAGCCTGAGCTCTTTACCAATACCATCTATTAGCAAGAGTAACCATGTCTTAAGTGCCTCTTAGTTGTATCAGAAAGAAAGCTGTAGTAGTATCTGCTCGCAACCAAACACACTTGAAAAGCTTGGGGCCAGTGTGTGGGGGGGAGGTGTTTAAAGCAGTCTGACTTAGTAATCTGCACTCCAGCTGAATCAAAATTTCTTTATCAATGGCACACCATTCTAAACCTGAAGACTAATTTTAAGACAGGAGATTTCTATGTACATATTTAAATGCATGAGAGACCCTTAAAAATCTTTGTGATACCACAAATCACTTAGATCTTGATGATAGAACTATGAGAAGGCTGACATTTTCATACCGAAACAGCTGGGTATGTTTATAGCTTGAGTGTGATATGCCCCAGATGCCCTCTGGGATTCTTACATTACCAGATGAAAAATGTGTACCTTTTGACAATCAGGTACACAGCAAGCAATAAAAAGCCTTTTATATCCATTAATTCTTTCTTAATTTAATCTCCTTGCCTGCTCCATTTACAAAGTGCTCCAGGCTGTCCACTAGATACCTGTTTGCACACTGAGAAGGAGTGGGTTTAAATTCTCTTGGGTTTAACTACCACCCTTTTAATCAGAAACCTTAAGATGCTGGCTAAACAAGTATAGAGTTCTGTGGATCAGCCGGGTTCAAATTTTAAGAAGACAAGGGGTGTCTAACAGTCCCGTGTTAATGGGATACTTATGTCTTTTGTATATTCACTGAGGTTCCCATGACTTTAGCCAAATGACCACTGCTGCCCATCTGACAATATTTGGGGTTTTGTTGTGTAGTGGTAGTTTTGCTAGTGTGAAAGCATTTGATGGAGTCTAGTGTAAGAAAACATCACTTTACCATTCAATGCTCAGCTTTTTTGCTTTCAATAGTTGGCATTCAATCCAGTTGGGTTTTTGCTGCTCAATGCTCTGTATGACCTTCTGGGTCATTTGGTTAGGGCTACTTTGCTCTCCCACGATGCTTCCCAAACACACGCAAATTAAGCCAAGCTTCTCCTTACTCCATCTGTTGAGGGAGACACCTGTTAAAAGTTCCACAGTGTCTCCATCCTCCAATACTCGACATATAATTACAATCAAGTTCCAGGCAAGCAGGCCAGCTTTCTTCAGTGCAGCACAGTTTTCTGACATTTTTCTCTCAGAGAGAGAAAAGAAGTATTTAATTGAGGGAGGCAAACATGCAATCACCGTAGGTAACTTGCTGATTACAATAGATACTGCCTGAGCAGCCAGCCTGGTGGAGCCTGGGGAAGAAAAGACAGAAAAGGTATGATTAATATGAGCATTCGCATTCCATTGCTGCATGGTTTTGTGTTGTGTGGGGATGTCTAATTTTTGTGGAGAAAATTATTGAGCAAAGCGAGTGCTTTGACATCTTCCGACAGAGCTCTACCAGGGCCTCCTGCAATATTATCCCAAATTCCCTAAATCCCATACTTGATTATTTGTCTGCTTCCGTAAGTGAAGACTGGGGAATTTACCATTATAATTTATATTTCTACTTTTTAAGACCTCATCTTTGAAAGACCCTTTGCCCCCCTCATTAGCAAGTGCAAAGGGATTTCTGCTGGACCCTGGTGTAGCCTTTGAAACTTCTGAGGCCCCCTTCAATCTCTCGCCTCTCTCTTCAGAAGCCATTCCAGCTCTTCTTGGGATTGGTGCCTTTTCCTTTCACTTTTAGCCTACGTATCACCACCCCAGAGTCTTTGCTTCACCATCTTTCCCTCAGCGTTCCCTTCGTGGCTTCCTCATGCCCATCCCAGTCCCTGTCTAACTTGCGACAACATTTTGTTGCTTAATTAGCCATCATCTATCTGAGAAATTACCTCCTTTGTCTGTTCACTGTCACCTACTACTAGGATGGGCAGTTCTGTGTCTCCAACACACAGTACCTCATATGTAAGAGCTGTCCAGGAAATATTGTTAAATAAATAACTCAATAAACTAGTTCATGTTTACCTCTAAGAATCTCCCTTTCCTTTGTGTGTGTGTGTTCACCGCTATTTTCACTTTCTGCTAACACCTCTTAAGGAGGCATTTGCCTAACAGTCCTTGGTCCTTCTGCTGATTCTATGTGCATTCCCTGGCTTAGAGTTCTGCAGGATGTATCGATGCCCTTTTCTGGACTAGAATTTCTCACTTTTGGCACCATTGCCATTTTGTGCAGGACAATTCTCTGTTGTCTTGTGCATTGAGAGATACTTAGTAGCAGCTTTGGTCTCCACCCACTCTGTACCAGTGGCATCCCCCACCAAAACTGTCTTCAAGCATGGTCACATGCCGTGGGAGCAAAATGATTCCTGACTGAGAAAGTCTTTTAGATGATTCCAGAATCTTGTCTTGACCTTCATGTAGAGTTGCAGTCCTACTGTAGGGATGGCTAGGGAGGAGCAGGCAGTGTACATAGGGCATGACCTGGGTGGCAAGCATAATTGACATAGCTGCACACTTACTTATGACATGATGTACCAGAAGGTAGGTACACTGTAGGACTTCTGCATACTTTTTACTGTGTGCCCGTAGTTCCTGTGAACGTTGGCTCACCCCAGGAACTACATAGATTATGCTATGTGCCCAGTGGTCCTATGAACCTTGACTCAGTCCAGACACAAAGGCTGACCCTGGTTGTACCAACCAAAGCAAGAATTATTTTTAGAGTATCAGCTTACCCCTACAAACATGGGCATCAGGCTGAGAAACTTGCCTTGAGCTTTGCTCTGTCATGCTGCTCACCTGCCATATGGCAGCAACTCTCCATGTTATCAGGAAAACTTCTGCCTTCCTTCGTTATCTGAGTTTTTTATTCTGTGCCAGAGAGATGTTCAGTTCCAAGTCAGCCTGCCTCCAGCTCTGCATTGGGAAGCTGAGGTTCCCTTCACTAGGGTGCCCCAGGCCCCCAGACCTCTGGCTGATATAACACTACAAATCCACCTCTGTGGCCCATTCCACTTCTCTGTTCTGCAGTAGTCAACTCAGTGCAACCACTTATCATTGTCTACCTTCTAAATTAGCTTATCCTCTGTTTTCTCTCTCTCTCTCCTCTTCCTTTTCTTTCTCTCCCCCTCCTTTTTTCCCTCTTCCTTCCTATTAAATGTCCTATTGATCTTTCATATGATCAACCAATGATCAACACTGATAAATCCTCTTGCTCCCTTCTGCTGGCCACACTGTTTTTCTCTGCTGAGAACCAATCCCAGCTGCTAACCTAGTCCAAGCACTTCCTTATAAATGGTACTTGGACAATCTAAGCACTCTCTTAACTTACCTCCATGAACCAGGCTGTGTCTAGCCCCTCCCCTGAACTGCAAGAACAAATGAATATACTATTCTCTCAATTTTATTTTCTCAGGCTGGGGAGATAGCTCTGTGGTCTAAACACCTGCCTGGCAAGTGCAAGAACATGGGTTCGATCCCCAGTATCACATGTTGTGCTGGCCCAGGGACCCCAGGTGCACCATGTTGGCCACCTAATCCATGTTTGGTAGTGCGCGCCTGTAATCTTAGTGCTGGGAAGGCTAAGACAGGAGGATCACTATGAGCCTAAGCTGCGTAGCAAGACCCTATATCAAGTAAATAAATGATTTTTATTTATTTTCAAATTTCTCAGCTACCATTATTTTCACTGCTTTTCCCTGGGAGAAAAGCCTCCAGAATCTCTTTCAAAACTGTCCACTGCCAGCCCCAGCCTGTTCCTATGAACCTTCTCTTGGAGACTTACACACGCTTTTAGGCTTGTCCACTGTTCAGCTTCTGAATGTGTTGTTCCTCTATCTTAATGGTTCATCTACATACTTTACCTCTTCAAGCACCTCTCCCCTCTTAGGAATTTATTTGAATGTATTATCCATATGACCACCTTGGTAATCAGGCCCATAATGGCCCATGTTGTGTCATCTTTTGTGTTATCAACTCTATTATTTATATCACATTGTCATTTACGTTTTTGTGAGTTGTCTTTATGACTAGACTGAAAGCTCCTCAAGGGAATAGGCAAAAGAAAATTTGCCTTCAGTATCCCACAGATTCCAACATTGCCCTCCTCATATATTGCTGGGATATGTATGTGAAAGCATCTAGTTTAGGATGCATGGTTAAAAGAATAGTTCTTTGACAAATGCATTCTTTCTATTCAGATGAATATGTTTAAAATATAGATAAAAGCAAATTCAGATACTCCCTTTTCTTTGTGTGCTTAAAATATTTTAAGTATCTTGTTCTTCATGTGTTTCTATTTCATACTCATTATTCTACTGTCAGTTATTTGACTTAAAATGTTGTCTCTTGTATTTTCTCTATTCTAAAGAGAGCTTAGGCACAGAGACTGAGTAAACATTTGACTATCTAAGTAGATATCTGCAAGAGATTACCAATTCTCTTTACACCTGAACTTCTGCTGATATTTTATAAACTCTGAGGACACCAGGTACCAAATCCCCAACTACTTCATTAAAGTTTAAGGCAAATTCCATCCAGGACCTTCAGACTGATGACAAATGAATAAATCTATCCTACTAATCACAGGGGCTGTGAAGCTATGATGATGTTAACGGCACACCAGGGAGAGATCTTTTAACACTGTCACACACTCATTTTCTTGTCTTTATTTAAATAAGTTGACTGTCTAAGCTATCTATATGTAATACGTGCTAACCCAATTTCAGAGCTGATAAATTGTGAAGAAGATGTTAGGATGAATAAAATATGGTACTTGTACTTCTGTATTTATCATACCTCCTTTCACACAGAAGCACTACTTTAATATCATACTTGTAAATTATAAAATATACAAAAAGGGGTATACAGAAAACAAAGGAAAGTATCAATAACAACTTGGTGACTGATGATACTGTGGTTTAATATGCTTTTTTGTGTTTAAAATCTGGGCTTAACACTACACAAAGGTCAGGTTCAAGTTCAGTTTGCTCCAGTATTCTGTTTTAATAACGCTCACTGGTGAAAAAGCCACAACATCAGCATACAGATCCACATGAATGACACCATGTGCTAGCAGTTGTGCTAGCAAAACCACACCATTTGATTTTTCAGACTTATCCACTTAATAGGCAAAGCTTTTGTTAAATTTGGCTAATAAATATCCATTAACTGTGATGCTGATCAGCTTTTCTTGAAAATAAATTGAAAAACATTTCAGTTTTCAATTTTAAGAAAAAAATTCAAGGATCAATGAAGCTTTCCACTGTAATACTTTAAAACACATTTTTAAATTCTACATCTGAGTTTAGTGCACAGCTATGATATTTTTATAGGGATTACTGGTCCTTGTAAATCTCATACATTTAAAAAATCATTTAAATAATTAACTTGTTTATTTATTTATTTGGTACAGGGTCTTGCCATGCAGCTCGGCCTCTTAGTGATCCTCCTGTCTCAGCTTCTCCAGTGTTGGAATTACAGTTGTGCGCCACCATGCCTGGTTTTGGGGCCACTTCTGGGGCAAGCATGGCATGTGGTACTGAGCATCAAACTCGGGTCCCTGAGCTTGCCAGGCAGATGCTTAGACCACTGAGCTACCTCCCCAGCCCACATTTAAGTTTAATACAGTAAACTTCATCAATGGCTTCCCATAGCACTTTGTGCCTTTCTGTTCTTAACTTCCTGTCAATAATGTGCAAGTGAACAATGGCCTGGGTGCATTTTTCTCCTGCCCTCCAGCAGCCATTGTTGCAGGGAGAGCAAATATACCCGTGATTTTCTCCTCAAGTGTTCTTTTCCATTGGAAAAATAATTTACTGTTTAGAAAACATCTTCCTAAGTATGTCTTTCATATAATTTTTGTCCAAGAAACAAAATAAAACCAGCTCTTTATGCACATGCGCATAGTAGAACAAATAACAGCTGAGCTTTTTCAGAGCCAAATGAACTTTCACCCAACTGTATTACAAAGCTATCCGGTGTAATATATGTTTTTATTTATTTATTTTTGATCTTCAATGTCTTCTAGGTAATAGCATTAGCTAGCAAAGAAATTTAAAAACTTACCCTAACACCATAATGTTTTTCACTTTTTGTCCTTTTCACTGTGTCAAGGACACATATCCATTTAAGGCAGTAGCTATCTGTCACTTCTCAAAAGTTAGACTTCTCAGGGTAAGGACATCTTTAAATATATATCATTGCTTAGGCAAATTTTGCAAAGAACTTTATTATGTACTAATTTACTTAAAACACCCAAGAGAAGCTCCAAGGTCTGTCTTTATGTTCTGCCTTAGTTTTGAAATCTTTTGCTAATCAAAGTGACTTCAGACCACCTGTAGCTGCTGGCGTCTACAGCTGGAGCTCAGCTGGGAGGATTTCCCCTTACATAATAGTCATGAGAGGCCGTATTTCATGTACTTCTCCCACGTTTTTTGGGGAAATCTGAACAGATCATAGTTTTACCCTCATGATGAAGCTAACAAAGAGCATATTCTAGTAATAGAAATATGTGAGATGTTTTGCTTTCTCATTGTGTGGTATCCAGTGCTCTCTAGTATTGAGCTGCAGTTGAGTGGTTGACTTACAGGAATATTTCAAGGTCGCGTGTATGTTTCATAAGGATTCATTTTGATTAAACTAGATCCTACAACACAAAGGGTAAATTTAATACACTACTGTACATAGAAAAGTAAAAGAGAAAGATTTCCCTGTCCTTTGCCTCCCATATTGTGGAGTTCTTGTTCTTTGGCCTTTTATTATAATTATAAAGAAAGAAATAATTAAAGTGCCTGCAAGAGGTGCAGGGGCCAGGGGTTCGATCCTGTGGCCTGCCATACCGGCCTTGCCCCTGGGGTGCGCTGAGATGGCAATTGACAGTGAGCATGTGGTGCGCAGCTGTAATCCCAGCTCTTGGGAGGCTGTAAACAGGAGGATCATTATGAGTCTGATCCAGTAGTGAGACCCTAAAAACCCTGTAGCCCCTTCCCTAAAAAATATAAATAATAATAATAAAATGGAATTTCAAATCAGGTTAGTTGGAGAGTTACAATAATTAATACATTGTGTACTGCTGTCTTCCTAGTAGTTATTCAGAGTAGAAGATACAGGAATAATATCTTGTCCAAACAATATTAGTACAAACCTTTCTTTTCAACGAACTAATAGAAATTGACTGTATAAATGTCTTAACTGTCTTGTGTATAAATATATTTATTTTCCTTTTCCCTTCCTTCCTTTCCTTTCTCCCCCATCATAGTTTGTCTTTTCTTTTGAACAGTTCTTATCTAATTCCTATATCTATGGTATATTTTGGACTTTATTCATTCAGTTTCTAACACAGTGAGACAATATGATGTTATACCTTTGGGTCACTGGTCATTCATGAGTTGCAAATTAAAACACATTGAGATTCTATTCACCTCAGGAAAAACATGGCTATCAACAAAAAATTAATCAAAAAAATAATCAGTAACAAAAGCTGGCTGTGGGGGAAAAGTGATCCTTCTCTACCATTGGTGAGAGTACAGACTGGTGCAACAACCACTCTAGAAATCAGTTTGAAGATTCCTCAAAAAGCTAGGATTAGCGGTCCCATTTGACCCAGCTTCTCTCCTTCTAGTTATTTTCTCAGAAGAATTAAAAACATCATACCACAGCAATATTTGTGCTCTCATATTTATAGCAGCACAATTTATAATAGCTAAATATTGGAAACAACCCAAATGCCCATCAACTGAAGAATGAATAAAAAAAATAAATTAAAAAAGATGTTTATGCTGGGGAGATAGCTCGGCAGTCTAAGAGCCTTTCTGGCAAGAGAAAGGACCCAGGTTCAATCCCTTGAATTGCATGCCATGCTGGCCCTAGAACCCCGGGCATGCCTTACTGGCCGCCGAACCCAGGTGTCATGATGCACGCCTGTAATCCCAGTGCTGAGGAGGCTGAGACAGGAGGAGTCTATAAGTCTGAGCTGCGTAATGAGACCTTGTACCAAATAAAGAAACAAATAAATCTTTAAAAAAATTAAAAAATAAAAGTTTGTGCTTACATTATTTGATCAATTTGATCAATGCATGTCTATATCTTGTAATCTGAGCAATGACTTTGAAGAGAACAATTTGCAATATATTAACTGTTACTCTACTATTATCTTGTTTTGAAATTCTGGACTGGTATTTTTTTCTCTTTTAAATAAAAAAGTTCCTGTAGCATTTCAGAAAACACAGATAGGAATAGTGAAATTTACCTGTTGTTATATTCATTTAGAATGTACTAAATGGTTCACAAAATCATTTTCCTCAATATATTTATGTGATCTGACACCTCTTCTTGGCTGTTTATGTATTGTAATTCTAGTGATAATTCTATGAAAAATACTAACTAGTAAGAAAAACCTTACAACTGGTTTCTATTGGAACCAGAGACTCTCTTTTTTCCAACATTTTTATTTATTTATTTATTTATTTATTTATTCATTCATTTGATACATGGTCTCACTATGTAGCTTGGACTCAGACTCCTAGTGATCCCGTCTCAACCTCCGTGAGTGCTGGGATTACAGGCATGCACCACCACACCCGATTTCACGGCCAGCACAGCACGCTGTCCTGGGGATCGAACTCAGGTCCTTGCACTTGCCAGGCAGATGCTTAGACCACCGAGCTATCTACACAGCCCTGGAACCAGAGGCTCTTTGAAGTGGACAAATACCAAAATGTTTTGTGAAAACCAAAATTATTCATGAATGGGAAAACAACTTGAAATTTCCAAGCAGAATGGTGCTACTAGTGTGCCGTGATGCACTGACTATAGATGTCTTCTGAACAACTTGAAATGCATGAAATATACATCCAAACGCTAGAACGAAGGACAGATGGCAACAACTTTCAGTTAAGGAAGAACTTAAGTAATGAAAAGGTGACATTTCCAGTTTCAATTAAATGGCTTTACTAGATTCCAAGGCAGTTTAATAGGGCTTGGACAGAATGAAACCATTACTATGAAAGGTCACACAGGTAGATAATTGATTTGAGTTTGCAATATAAGGTCATCGGACAAGAGCCACATTATTTAGCATATACACAGAGAGAAATGAAAGAAAGACTAGTCCTTTCAGCTGCTCTTTCTGGGTTTCACTATAATATTTTATTGTTCAAGGTTTTTGTACAATTGATGAGAAAAAAATTCTCTTTCAAAGGTACATATGAAAAAGGAAAGTTCTATTTTAGAAAACAAAAAGAAAATTCATAGATACAGTCACAGCCAAAGGAGTTTTGTGAAGATTCAGGGAAAATGAAACTATATAGATAGGAAATGACCATTTAAGAAGAGAAAACTTGATGAGCAAAATAGATCAATAATGTATAAAAAGAAAAGAGTCTTAAGTATATTTGGTGGGTGCACCAGTCTGGAAGAGCAATACACTAAACTCAGAACCAAAGCATTCAGGGAAAACAGCCTGTCAGGAAAATTCTGTAGTTATCACAGTACCACTGGATGCTATTTTTGACCTAAAAGCTAGACATGTTGGTGTGTTCACAAGAGAACAGAAGTGATAAATAAGGCTGCACAGGAAAATTGTAAAGGAAGGAATAATCAGTAATTAAACTGAATGTTGTACAAATCTTGAAAGTACATGTCTTAAACAACAGATTTAAAGGAAAGGAATCAAAATCATGTGACCAAATTCTGAATATTAACACAAAAAGAAAACAGGACAGAATATTCTGAACTGACTGTTAAATAACATGACCTTTAAGCCATTTTCATTTGTAGTTTTTGGGTTTTCTTTTCTTTCTTTCCTTGTTCTTCTTCTTTTTTTTTTTTTTTTTCTATGTGGTTCATACTTTATTAAAGGTTGCAAATGTTTGGTGGAAGATATTATTTATCAACCATAATTTTTAGATTATTAGTTTATTAAATATGCTAGAGATTGCTTCTTCAGGGTAAGTTTTCTTTAAGAAACAGACGCACACTTACCTTTACTTGATTTTCTCTTTTTTGTGTCTTTTGGGATATAGTTCCATTCTTTTGGAATGCTCTCAAGCAAAAGACTGGCACAACAGTGGTTGTTCAGGTTTGCTCCCCAGCTTCTTCCACAGCCCATTAAAGATATGACCTGCTGCACGATGCCCTTGATGGCCTGGGTCAGTGCCAGGCGCAGGCATCGGATGACCTCCAACTCCGATTCCATACACACTGAGAATTGAAAATCAAGTGGCATGGCATGCTTAGCAAAACCTGGCAATCAGGCCTGCTTTATTTAAATTGAGATACTGTTTCATAAAAATGAAATTCAAAGTTATAGAGCTTATTCTAACTGAGAATTCATATAATTGATAATCAGCTCATAAAGCATTTAAACAAATTCCTTCTTTCTAGCAATTAAAAGATAAGTATTATGATAAATGATAAATAGCAAAATTTATTGAATCAAAAATGACTATTGCAAATAAAAATGAATATTTGCAATTAAAAACTATTAGTATGATAGTAAATAGCAACAGTTTCAGATTCTGTTGGTGGAATATAAGTTGCATGACCTTCTTAGATGACATCTTGGCCATATCAAAAGCTTTAATATTTTACTTACATGTTGAGTCAATCCCTCTTGTAAGAATTAATACTAAGAAATTAAGGAAGAATATGCAAATGAAATGTAAAAGATTAACTACTCAACAACAGGTAATTTGTTTAAATAGATTTATCGTACTAACTGTAAAACAAAGTCAAATATTTGATAGTTACAAATAATAACAGGTTAGAAAAGAGTATTCTATGCTATTTTTATTTTAAAATACAATATATCTATGTATGTACATTTAAATCAATGAAAAGATATACTCTCTAATGTCAATGGTGATTATCAATAATGGGATTTCACTTAATATTTTTTTCCTTCATCTTTTGCTTTTCTGCCTTCTTTCTTTTCTTCCTTTCTCCCTTCACTTTTATCTTGCCTTCCTGTCATCTTTGTATGTATTATCCACAATGAGGATACATGATTTGTACATGTGCAATAAAAATCTTTGTTTGCTTGTTTGACATCTGTCTAGAAAGTCCTGAAACCATCACTGGAATCCATACCAAAAAAAAGTGCCTCTTTGCACCTCATATTCCCAGGTAATATTTCTCAAATGACTTGTTTATTTAACAGTGGTCCATTGTTAAAACCATCAAGGAGAAATATGCTCTTGGTGATAGCAAATATTGAGAGTTTAATTTTTTAGCATAGCATCACATGAATTAGGTAACAGCATGCTTTTTATAGAAAGGGTATAGGATGGGGCTGCCTGTCTTTGAAATTTTGATATTTCAAAATTCATTAAAGGGCACTAGTACATGCCATTCTTTCTCTATCAATAATTATTATTCAGCTTGATTGAGTTATGGACTAAATACATATTAATTACCTCAAAAATTCCAGGAAATCAGACATACTTCTTTCTTTTATAAAAAAAAAAAAGACAACAAATTCATCCTCTTTAAATTTAAACCTAGGGCCAGGGATATAGCTTAGTGGCATAAGTGCCTGAATTACAGGTGCAAGGTCCAGAGTTTGATCCTTGGTACCGTAAATAAATAAATAAATAAATAAAATTAAATTAAATAAAACTCACATGTTGAAAATGATAAAAAATTTACCTCAAAAATTATTTGAAAATTAAACTAATTTATAAAAATTAAGCATTTTGAACAGTAACTAGCATAGGAACTATGTAAATGTTACTTATTATTAATACCCAAGTTAAGAGGTTCTTGGAAAAGTTACAATGTATAATATTGAACAGGTGAATATTTATTTGATATGATGCCCTAAATCATCTTGAGGACTTGATACTACAGGGAACATTAAGCAAATGTCTGTGGTAGGGAGAGAAGCAAGTAAAGGCGGAAGAAAGGGAGACATGGAAAGAAGAAGGAATAGAGGAAAGAAGGTGAGTAACGGTACACACATGGCAGCAATTCACTGTCAGAGACATACTCAGTCTCATGTTAGACTGCTTAGATTGCCAAGACACATGATGCACAAAGAACACAAAAGAACACAATAATAGCCCCAAAGCAACCACCATAAGTCCACAATATTAATCTTTGATTATCAGCATAAAGGAGAGAAGCAGGAGAAAGTATCAATCAAAAGCATGTTTTTTATTATTGATATTTTGTCGTATATGATTTCAAGTTTTATGTTAAAGTAACTGAAATGAATGGGAAGAAAAAGATTCAGATTGAATTGTGTAACTTTTAAAATTTTATTGATTTATTTATTTTGTACCAGGAATTAAACTCAGGACCTTGCACTTGTCAGGCAGGTGCCGTGCTGCTGAGCTATACTGCAGGATTGTAATTTAAAGAAGAGGAAAAATTGGAGGCATTTGTTGGAAAATAGGTGCACCTGAAGCATACAACATTGAGGGCAATAAACAAGATAGGCAAGCTTAAATGCTATATAGTATCCTTAGTTGAACAAGAAAAAGTACAACAAAGTGAATAATAAAGGATGGATAGAAAGAAACAAGGGGAGGGATCTCTGGCAAATGGTCAGGAGTGATGGGTGGGAAATAAGTAGAATTCGGATAAGCCTTGTACGATAGCCTAACAAGCTCAAGGAATGTAAATATCATATGCCATGAATATGATCTGATACAATATCAACAGGAATGAAAACGGGGAAAGAAGAATTGGGGGAGGGAGAACAGGATGAAAAAAGAGCCAAGCTATTTTGTGTACATGTACACCCTCACCACAGTGATCTTAAATTGCATGAACTGAAGAAAGCCCAGCACATCTCTTGAAACTCCAGAGAGAGGACAGCGGAGATGAGAAGACAAGAGTCAAGGCACAGAAAGCTGATGTCGGCTGGAGCTCCTCTCCTAATGGGACAAAGGACTGCCCCACAAGTGCAGCACATTTATTTATACAATCAGCAGAAACCTGATGCTTATGGAAATTTAAAGGGAGGGTAACATCGGGAACAGGAGGAACATCTATCCTTTTGCGAAACATTGCTCCTTGGTGGTTACACGAGGAACAAGGGGGTAAGTCCCTATATTATCTCAGGGGAAAGCCAAGTCACTTTGTGCACCCTGAGCCGTGTACATTTCTCATGGGGCCCTGGCAAACTCATAAGAAGGAGCAACCTTGTTTTGGATACTTGTGGTACAGACAGCTTTTCCCCCAACACGCACTAATAAAAAATTTTAAATTCATAAAAATAAATAGAAAGAATCCATGCTTCAACCTCTCCTTTTCTAATATTTCAAATCATCTTTAAGAAATAAGGAAACTGTATTTAAACAGGGGGAGGAGTGGTATCCCTGTCTATACAACCATAAAGAGAAAGGGCAAGGGGAGCTGGACAAGATGATACTTGTGGACTTTTTCAGTTTTCACCTTCCATGTCTTTATGTAAATCCTAAAAGGAAAATAAGTATTTCAGAGCCAAGTACATAAAAAGATTAATAAAAGCAGTGATTCTGCTGCCTTCTTTGGCAGCTCAGTAATCAGAAGTCCTTAGAGAGAGATGGGATAATGGTCTCAAATTGAAAATGAGCTTGAAAGCAAACAGTTTATGGATCCACCCAATTTATGTAAGACACTATCAAATTTTCATCAGTATAATCTCAAAATTTGATAATGTTAGTTCAGGCAAGGTATAGAAAACTTTACTATCTTTATTTTTAGATTTTATAATTTTGAATACATAGAACAAGAGGAATTTAGTGGTAGTTTTTCAACCTACTTTTAAGAAAGATGTTATCCTGTATTTGACAAAAAATGACCTAATCTGATACTACAAAAGGAATGTAACGTACACATAAACATGCTGTGGGAATAAAAATGTATATCTAAGCAAACTTTTGTGTAAAAAGCATGTTATTAATGCACTGATTAATCAGGAGCTTCTGGAAATAAGGTTTACTGATAAGTTATAAATACTTGGGAAACATTATTAAAGAATCCTCTGAAAATACATGAGCATAATTTATCAAGAGAAAAATAAAGGTTATTTGGTAGGTCAGAAGACAGGATGATAGAAATAAGTAATTGAAATCTGGTCAGGATCTGGTTCTCCTTGTTGGTAGGCAAGGAAATCAAGGAACCAGACAGGAAGGAATGGGCCAATTAGAATTGGGAAGGTGAAGGTCTAATAAGCACCTCACTAGCAAAGGACCTTGCTAAGAAAATCAAAAGGTAAGCCACAGACTGGGAGAATTATTGATGTACGCATGGAAAAAGAACTTAGGTATAGAATATATAAGCAATTATTTGCAACTCAATGAGACAAAAAAGTCAGCTAATAAAGGGAAAGATTTGAAAAGACATGCTACCGAAGAACACTTTAGGGCTGGGGAGATGGCTCACTAGAATAAGCGCTTCCCTGGCAAGCGCAAGGGCCGGAGTTCAATCCCTGGTTCAAAAAAAAAAAAAAAAAACAACCAAACAAACAAAAAAACATAAAGAAGTATTTGTTTCATTAGTCATGAAGCAAATATGAATTAAAACTATTACTAAATCTATCTTAGACAGACCAAAACAAAAAATACAGGTCATTGTATTGGCAAGGATATGAAACGAACAAAATTCTCATACATTATTGATGATAATGTAAGAAAATATGACTGCTTTATAAAGCAGGCTATTAGTGATGAATGGATAAAATAGAGCCTGCTACTCAGTAATACTAGTCAGCATTGAGCAAAAATGAACTATTAAGAAAGCATAATATAAAGAAAAGAATCCTGACATAAAAGTCATATACATTTTTATTTATATGAGATTCTTTGATAGTTAAAAAAATTAGCATGATACAAAACATTATTAGCATCTTCCAAGATTGGGAGTTGAAAAGAGAATTGAGTGCAAAGTGAGATGCTAGGACCTCTGGAGGTGATGAGAATGTTCTCTTTATGGTGGAAGTCACCACACAAGTTTATGCACTGGTCAACTGTACTGGATTTTTCACTGGAAATTAGTAAATTTTACAGTATATATGTTATATCTAATAGAGAATTTTAAAAGCAGGCAACAAATACAAGCATTGGATGGATGACCACATAAAAGTCTCTGGGTAAGTGATAACAACGTAGAACAAAAATGATCTCCTAATTTTAGAAAATTTGCATTTCACACTTATCCGCACTATGGTTCAGGTATGTAGGAAGGTAACAGAGAAAATTTCTATGCCCAAGACA